CCGTGTGAAAACCAATTCCTCCAGAGTAAGAGCAGGAGCGTCGTCGTTTCCTCCACGTTAAATCTCCTTCGCTCCAGCAAACGTCTCCGGACCGCGCGTGACAGACGCCTGCGGGTCCTCCAGGCCATCATCTGCGCCCCTCCGGCGGGTCTCCAGGAGGTGATCGGGTGCAGGCTACAGCCTCCTGTCCTGGACGCGTGCGACAGATCGACACACAACCTCTCTCTCTCTCTCTCTCTCCCACCTCCGCCGTCATGCAGATTCGTCCCATACCACCCCCACCGAGGGGCCGCGGGGACGGCACGCAGCCACCGCATAGCAACGACCACCACCACATCAACATCCTCTCCCTCCCCGAGGCACGTCTGCGCGTCTACCCCTCCCTTTCGCCCGCGGAATCAAAATCAATCGCAGCTACACCTCCCCTCCCCCGAGCTTCCGGCGCGACGAAGATGTCGTACCCCCTTTCCTCTACCCTCTCCCCACCCCCTTTCTTTCTTTCTTCCTTCCTTTCTTTCGGTTTCGGGTGGAAGTCACGCACTCTCAATAACCCTCCTCAAGCCTCTACTCTACACCCTAAGCGTGTGAGACTAATATTAATTAGGCCACACACTTTTTGGGATGTGAACGCCATTCGCGCACATGGAGAAAAAAAAACCTGTTGTCTCAGCTAGAATCGTGACTGAGTGATTAGCAATTTACTTTTTTGTTGTTGCTGACATAGCAAAAAAATAAATAAAATAAACTGCTAATAATTTAGCAACGGTCTCAGCAGTGACAGCAAATCTTTTTTCTCCGTCCACATGGAGGCGGAGGTGTGTTAACTTTAAAGGGAAATTCAGACCTACTCCCTTTAGGGTACGGATGGGAATTCACACACCGACAAGTGTGCGACGTTCAAACCACTCCCGGTGAAAACGCCGTGGTCGCCCTGCTTGAGATTCTCTATTTGAGTGCCGCATGCTGCGAGTCGTATGCCCGCGGCGTGCAACTTTCAGTAGTTTCAGTCGCTCCTGCTCGGCTATAGCCACCTCCACGGCTTCCTCTCCTCAATAGCGGTGCCCCCGCTCTTCTGAAACTAGAACCTGTTAGGGCTGGCAGTTAATTACCGCTTAGCCCGGAGCAGACTGCACCCTGCAAAAGACAAGTCTGCCTCTCCGAACGACAACAACACGATAACAGTTCCTTGTGTTTCTCGGCCAAACTTATCGCGACGGCAAACACAACAGTGTCCTAAGTGCACACATAGAAGTGTGTACTTGCCATAGTACACACAACGAAGTGCTTTGCCCTAGGTAACGTAAACCCATTAGTGTCTATTCTAAAAGTGCGCACTTATGGGGCGCCTGGTCGGTAGGCAACGCGGCCGCACGCTAGCTCGACGGGTCTGCCGTGGACGCCTGGCCGGTAGGCAACGTGGCCGCACGGCCTGCTCGACGGGACTGCCTTGGGCGCCTGGCCGGTAGGCAACGCGGCCGCACGCCTGCTCGACGGGTCTGCCGGGGGCGCCTAGCCGGTAGGCAACGCGGCCGCACGCCTGCTCAACGGGTCTGCCGGGGGCGCCTGGCCGGTAGGCAACGTGGCCGTACGGCCTGCTAGACGGGACTGCCTAGGGCGCCTGGCCGATAGGCAACGCGGCCGCACGCCTGCTCGACGGGTCTGCCGGGGGCGCCTGGCCGGTAGGCAACGCGGTCGCACGCCTGCTCGACGGGTCTGCCTGGGGCAAGGGGGCTTCCTCTCTCCCGGCCGGTGCGAGGTGGATTGCAGCTCGCAAAGGTGCCTCACATGAGCCGGGCGGGCACGGATCAGCTTTACTCGATTTACAGTAGGGGGTAGAGACATGGTGGAGGGGAGGGGGGGTATATGGATTGGTGGACACATTACACTGGAAACGCAAGTGCGCGAATGTCACCCACTTGTAGGTGATGTAGGTGATTATCCATTTAAATAGACCCGAGCGCGCCTGCGGGGGTACAGACAGGTGTGAATTTTCGTTGGAAACTCACACACTTGTGTCTCCACGTGTATAGACGAGTGTCGTTTTAACACCCCTACAAGTGTGCGACATTCGCACACCTTGAGTCTCTTTCGTGCAACGGCGACGTGCTTCCCCGGGGGTCCACGGCGTCCACGGCACCCTGTGCAGAGGGCGGCACCGCCTGCACGAGACCTCCTGGTCCCCCCCGGGAGGTCCGCAGCGCGCGGAGCAGCGCCCTCTCCCGACCACGGCCTCGAGCAGGGCGGAGTAGAGCGCCCGAGCGCCCATCATCCAATCGGACCAGCGCACTAACAAGTCAAGACAACTGTACACACTCGGCGGGGCAAGCTCGTCACACACTCGTCAATCCATAAAAGAAAGTAAAGGGGTGACTGTAGCACTCGTGTTTGTGTTTAATGATTGTTACTCATACGCCTCTGTCTTGTCACGCACTTTTATTTGTGCAGCAGAACCGCGACAGCGCACTCATCGTTTCTGCCTTGTTGTAGGGCGATGGATACTTCACTCAGCCAGAAATTGAACGTCGACTCAACGTTGAATCTACGTCGAAGTTACGTTGAATTTCGGACCATTTAATGGTCAGATCAAGGTTGATTCAGCACCGGCATTGATAGACGTCGATGCATAGCCGGCTGGGTAAGAACCTTATAGCCTCGAGATGCAAAAGCATCGGGAAGAACGTAGCGGCGACTAGGTTGGTGTTTAAATGAAATATCAGGGCTGAGTCACGTTAAGCAAGGGATGTCACGATGCCCCCTCCCCCCAATTCACCCAATCTTCTCAAATCTCGGAAAAACACACGCTTTTAAGTTATAAGAAATGTGTGGGGGTTCTCCTGCTTTAGTGCCCCTCCTTAAGAATGTATTAGTGCCTCTAGAAAGGCACTACATGTAGTTACATGTACCAGCACCAACGTTTGGCGTTCAAAGACGCCAATATTTGGCGTTCAAAGACGCCAATATTTGGCGTTCAAAGACGCCAATATTTGGCGTTCTTAGAAGAACGCCGACCAGTTTGCAGTGCTCGCTCACCCCTGCCTGTGTGTTTCCAGTGCGCCCAATAATATTTACTTGCAATATACCTCAAACCTGCATTTCGAGGAAGAGAAGGGTGCGTGCGGGTAATCGGGTGTTTTCAAGGGCGAAATGACATGGAAAACGATATCGTGACGACACTAATTTTTTGCCGTTTCGATATCGTTTCGACATCACGTTTCGCGCATGGCAAGAGGATGCGGTCGCGACGGCACTACTCAACTTTGCTTAACAAGTCATAGCAGAAGCCTCCATACCCCAGGAGGAACTGGAGAGCCTTCAAGTGTACGTCGTCGTCAAAATGGTAGACGTTTTAATGTGTATTCTTTGATTTAACTTGATGTCATTGCGATCATGATTTCACTCAGAACCATAGTTGTGTTACACTGACCACACCAAAGGCTCCCATGTCCCTTGTTCATCCCTGATGGATGCAGCCCAATTAGACAAAAATGACTGTCGGAACAATGTCGAAACGGTGGCGTACAGACCATCGGTCCAATATCGTTACAACACTCAATTACCCTTTTCCCTCCACTTTTCCCCCCTTTCTTTTTTTGTATGCCATAGCTTAGCTTAAAGTTGGAGTCCATCTTTTAGTTGATGAGAAGAGAGCATTTAGATCACATACTTTCTGCCCTGCAACATTAACAATTTTTGCACCATCACTCTCTGATAAGTTGAGCGACAACAGCATGTTCAGATCAACAACCAAATGCAGGAACTGGCAAGATAAAGGACAGCACATAATGGCTAATGCACTTAAAAAATAACCATGGGTGACACTGAACAAAAGGAGAAGAAACATGGACAAAGTGATTTTAATTTAGCTAAGCCATGCCTAATGTTATGTAACTAAAAGCTTGCATGCTTAGTTTGATATTCAGCTACTACAGTACAATTCGAATGGCACATACACAAGAACGGTACGGACAAACAGAAAAATTCAGTACTAGCTAGTTCCAACATTACATTCCAACGATTAACATTACAAACATAATAATTACAAATCAGTTAAACAGTTATATTACAGAAATACAGTGTACGTTAAGTCTCTGGAATTTTGCTCTCTAATGTCTGATAAAGTCTCGAAAAATTATGAATATTGAATCTAACAACCGTATGTTGTGTATTCCACACAGAACACAAAAATAGAATGTCAACCCAAAAAGGGATTTGATGTTTCAAAAATTTAAGGATATTAAGAATCGGCCTGAGCATGCAATGCATACTTAAATGAGCATAGTGGATTAATAGTTACCAATGACACACAGAACTCCGGCAAGCAGATGAAATGCCATCGTGACTGAAGGAGATGCAGCAGGGGACTCTACACCACTTCACTCTAAAGACAAGGAATTTAAAAAAAAAAATAAGAAAAAAAATAGGGAGAGAACAAGTACGGCTTTAGGAACACTTTGAGGAGAAGTGAGTAAAAATAATGTGACACCCTAAGCAATAGGTCTCCCACACCACAACCAAGTGCATAGTGGAGTAGGGTGGGGAAAGTTAGGAAGGTGGGAGGGATGCAGCAGCACTGACTCGAAAAGCTGCAAAGCTTCGCCCAGAAGAGCCGTCTTTGGGTCTTCCAAGGGCCCAGGAGGACTGGTCAGGACGGCTCCAAACACAAACGCCCCCCTTCGTTGGCGGGGCTACAGAGCGGCAGAGAAAAGCGCCCTCCTTGACCTTCCACGACGAGTCACCGCCACAGGAGGCGAACGAGGTCCTGTCGGAGGCAAATCTAGCGCTTGTAGCATTCCCTTAAAGGGAGCTGAGAAGAGGGCAACGAAGTGATCGGTGCATCAAAAACACAGTCCACCCACCCGGTCGAAGGGAGGGAGGGGGGGG